TATGAATTTCGAAAATTCAATAACACTTATTTTAACTCCCCATGTTAAGACCTCAAATACCAGTTATTTAAATTAAATCACTGAAAATTTAGTTTAATCAACTAATTAAATCCTTTACAATTCCGCTTAAACTATTTCATGTGACAGATACAAAATCCACCGGCCGGATTTTCACATGAAAACTTATAAGCTTACATAAAGGGGTATCATCAAACTCAAAACCGAGTCATGAATTCTATCAACTAATTATTATGTTATTCGATATTGTCCAATCTTTTAGGCATACTCTAACTTTGAATAGAGTCGTACCTTTTGATAAATCAAAACAATAAACAAATTACACTGATCATAATAATTATATCTAGATTAGGAGTATAAGCTCATTTAGTGAATTAGAGAAAATATTTTATATATTCAATACAAAAACATCTTTTCTCTACTTGGTCCGTTCAATATACACTGAGTATACTAGCACAAGTAGTCGGAGTAAAACCACTCCCATAATCAAGACAAATTATACTATAATCTTGTGCTACAATCTTCAAGATATTTTGTCCTATAATATTTTTGATTGTGAACATAGTTTATTAATTATGAGAACCAACAATCTAATCTTCTGTGCATGGCTAAGACTCCATACACTAATTTGTCTACTACATAACTAAAAGGACACACATGTAACAAATGATCTATTTAAAAATAGTACTTTATTGAATAAATAAATAATTGTTCCATAAAAAATAAAATAAAATACCATGTCTAAACCGCATGGTTAATAGTATATCCCAACAATTACCACAATAGTAGCAGCAAAAATAGGAGGAACAAGCAAATCCATTTTAGACCTCTGAAAAACCTCAGTAGGGAAACAAAAAACCTCTAATGGAAGATCCAATGGAATTCTCACAGATCCTCTATCATGACAAGCCTGAGAAAACGAAGATGACGGCGTTATCGCCGAAACAAAGGCTAATTCCGACGAAAAAGAAGCCACAGCTACTAACAATGTTTCTTCGAGCTAGTTCGGGGCTAGGATCGATTTCGGGGTCACGATCTCGATATTCTCGAAGGCAGGCATTCTGACCCGGGTGCTAGCCCGGTGGGACTTGGGTCGGTCTTCAGTCCTTTATTGCCATGTTCCGAGCCTGATCTGCCATGTCACAGGCGAGCTCGATTTTGATCGTATACAAAGCTTATATTAAAGACTAGACATTAGCTACATCCCACATAAGAGATGAGATTATAACCCCATGGGATAACCTTATCTATACCAAAATTGAACAAAATAAGGCCTTATTATTTGCATTGTTTAAAAGGTTAGTGTATACAAGTTATTCATAATAAAACAGTAAAGTGCCATAGTAGCTAGACGTAGCAATTAAATGCTTTAACTATCCTTAAATGTCAAATAATCTTAAATTACTCAGTTTGAGAATAAGAAAGCGTGAAAATATTGTAGATCAATACTTCTTCCGGTCCAAAATAAGTGATTTTTTAGTTGTTTTCACACAAATTAAGAAATTCACCTTTTAGCATTAATTAGCAATGAAATTGACTATATTAACTTTTACTATCTCTTCACATAAACACTCCTAACACTATTACTCCAAGGGCAATGTAAGAAAAAAATAATTAATTCATTCTTGAAATCTGGGAAAATCACTTATTTTGGACCACAAAAAAAAGGCCAAAAAATCACTTATTTTGGACCGGAGGGAGTACAAATTAGATAAAATAATGAGAAAGAGCTTTTTCTAGTTTTTTATTTTTTTTTATTTTTTTTTAATTTTAAAGCCATATTTGATTCAAGAAGGCGTAAAAGGAAAGGAAATTTTGTGGCATCTAATTCTATCCTAAAAACGACTAAATATTCCCTTTAATAGTCTCTGCGTCCGGAAATACTTGAAGGAACTTCCAAAAAAAAAAAAAAAGCTAATGGAAGAAATGTCGATATTACCAAATTTCAAGAGATAAATATGATTTTCTCTTCAAAATAGTTATGCCGTATAATTTCTCCCCAAACAAAAGTCCGAAGGTTATAATACACTTAAATCAACTAAAAGAGTCATTTGGTTCTTCATCATTTGCTCAGACATAGTTTTCTACTCGAGATTGCATCTTCCCATAACACATAGTTCAGCAACAGGTCTCTTCTTTTAATTTAAACATCTACGGTGTGTTTGGTACGAAGGAAAATGTTTTCATGAAAAATATTTTCCTGGAAAATGAGTGATTTTATCATTTATTTTTTCATGTTTGGTTGGTGAGTGAAAGATTTTTCAGGAAAATATTTCCTAGTAATTGTTTAGAGAGTAGAGGATATTTTTTCTAGAAAAATAATTTTTTATGCTACTTTCCTTATCCCCCCTCCCCCAAACCCTATATACCCAATTTTTTCAGGACTCTATTTTCTTCAAGAATTTAATTATTCTATTAAAAATTCACACAAACATGTGTTGCTTTACTTTTTCACTCAAAAACAACGTTGAAATTTGTGCTACATAACTAAAAAGAAAATATTTTTTTTGGGTTGAAAAAGAAAGTACTCTTTCTACAACATGGAAAAAGTACTATTCGTTTTGTTAAAATGAAAGAAAATACTTTTTCTACATCATGAAAAGGATATACTCATTTTGTTGAAATGAAAAAAAAATACTTTTTACTATATTATTTTGTTGAAACGAAAGAAAATACTTTTTCTACATCATAAAAGAAAGTATTTTTTTTTTTGAAATGAAAGAAAACAATTTTTTACATCGTGAAAAGAAAATACTCATTTTGTTGAAATGAAAGAAAATACTTTTTACTACATCATTTTGTTGAAATGAAAGAAATACGTTTTCTACATCATAAAAAGAATATATTTTTTTTGTTGAAATGAAAAACGATACTTTTTACTACATTATTTTGTGAAATGAAAGAAAATACTTTTTCTATATCGTGAATAGAAAGTACTTTTTTGTTAAAATGAAAGAAGATATTTTTTACTTCATCATTTTGTTGAAACGAAAGAAAATACTTTTTCAACATCATGAAAAGAAAGTACTTTTTTGTTGAAATGAAAGAAGATACTTTTTACTACACTATTTTGTTGAAATAAAAGAAAATACTTTTTCTACGTCATGCAAAAGAAAGTACTTTTTTTTGTTGAAATGAAACAAAATACCTTTTTTTTATCATGAAAAACATACTCATTTGTTGAAATAAAAAAAATTTAATTTGCTCCATCTACAACATAAAAAGAAAGCATTCTTAATAAATTTCTATTTAGGGGGGGTAGGGCAGGGTTGGGGGAGGGGTGGGGTGGGATAGGTGTTGGGGGGGGGGGGTTAGTGCGGATGGGGAATAGGGTGGGGAAGATTGAAGAAGAAGTCTGGAAAATATTTTCTCTTCTCTTGATAAGGAAAACATTTTACTCCAATTGGAGAAAAATGAGTTCATGAGGAAAATGTTTTCCAAAATATTTAAGTCAACCAAACATAGGACAATTGGAAAATATTTTTCGAAAAATATTTTGTTTCGTACCAAACACACCCTAAGAGCCATGACATTTATTACAGGTTGAAGAAAATCAAACAGTCACTTTGACCTATCTAGCGTTTGACCAAAAATGAGTTAATCCTTGGTTAAACTAATTAATGATTTATCAAGATGGGACAATCCTAGTTAGAGCTAATAATTCTAGACGTATAACGAATGATGTGAACCACTACACAAAATGAAATGTGGATAATAACTGTGACCAGATGTTATGCTATATGGAGAGAGCAAACAATAAATAGCATTAAATGAAAATAAATTTAAATAGAGGGGAAGATTCACCCAATGTTGAAGAGGGTGAAGGATTAATTCCTTCCTCTGACAATGATAAATGACACGGGGATGATCGAATAATATGTATTTTCGTGGATCTGATGGAAAAGACAATAGAATAGTTCACCAAAAGGATGAATCTTAGTGAAAAGTAATGCTTTGTATTTTGTCCCAGAGCTTATCCTTTTACAAATGTTCTTATCATATTGAATCTTACATGCCTTTTTCTTCCTCTTTCTTTCTATTTATATGAGATATTCACTAAGAACCCTAAAAGTACAAACACAGAGGATATTTGATGAAATATTCCCTCTGTGGATCCCAATGTAAACTAGCTGTTATTCTTAACTCTACTGCTCGACCTCGACCATGACTGGTTGTCGAGCTACTCGGCACATGAGGTTACTGATCGACTACGACAATGCCGCACTTAATGATTTCCAGGTCACTCTCCTCGCCCAACTCTGCACGACTTAGTCCTTGATCTAATTTTGACCCATATATCTAGTTCAAGGTGTACATGCCACCACAAATCTCATGAACTTTAGCTTTACCAATATTATCGGAATAGTAAAATGAAATGTGACAATCTCAAGTCTACTAGTGATACTATTCGTTTTGGATTTAAATCCACACAACATTAAAATCTAAGCTTGTTTTCTTATATATTCAATATTTCTCATGTGTTTTATCGTAAGACTTACCTGGAATTAATGTTACATTGTCGTGAAATTCGCCAAGAATATTACACGACTCTAAATTTATTTTGGTATTCCAAGATTAGGAAAGGATATACACTATATTTATCAATTTCAAGGAATTCAAATTGCTATAGTGGGCACCAAGTTATCCATCACATCTTTTAAAGAATCATTAACAAATTGAGCAGCCTAATTTTGTGTTGCCTTTATAAACAGAATTTCTTTCTAATACGATACAATTAGTGTTAACATTCAGGCGTAATTATTTAGTGCCAAAAAAATTAAATATTATTTATATGAAACTCAAATTTTATTTTAAGACGAGCATATTTACTTCAAGAAGCAACTCGCATGACTATGATCAACCTGCAGCAATAACAAATTAATGATGTAAACGTGATCTTATCATGCATTGATAATGTCGACTACTGAATAAAAATCTTTACTCATCTAGAGCAATACACCAACAAGAAATTAGTATCTTCATCCAAAGAAATTAGAGACTGAATATTATTTCAAGAATCAATAATAAAATGTGAACAAATCCCCAACTAATATACAAAATCTAACATAGTGAAAAAACCAAAATTGATTAATGCCTTTTTTTGGAAATGGTATTCGCGTAAGCTCGAGCGCAACTAATTTCACGACTACCTGCTATTCCCCACCAGCACAGGGCACAAGTTTAAAGATCAAAATTGATTATTTTCACCATCAACCTCCCACAAAGCCAAAGCTTTAACTACATAAGCCGAGACAGCCACAATAGTAGCAGCAAAAATAGGAGGAACAAGTAAATCCATTTTAGACCTCTGAAAAACCTCAGTAGGAAAACAAAAAACCTCCAATGGAAGATCCAATGGAATTCTCACAGATCCTCTATCATGACAAGCCAGAGAAAACGAAGACGACGGCGTTATCGCCGAAACAAAGGCTAATTCCGGCGAAAAAGAAGCCACTGCAACTATAATTGTCAAAAGGGTTGTCCATGTTGCAGCATAGAATAACAATGGTAGCCTTAATGAGAGCCTTTGATATATTGAGTTCAAGAAAATGAAGCTCATATTTTGCTAGAAAATAATTCTGTTTGGAAAAGGAGAAGAGTGAATATAATGGGGTTATATGATTATTGGTCAAACATAAGTATAATAAGGATGTTGGTTGTTATGGGAAAGATGGACCTAATCTTAACTACTTTCAAAATGTAACACACAACATGATCTCAAGTAGTTTAGTTGTTGGAGTTTAAAACTATCCGGCTACCGAAATAAAAATAAAAAGGCAGTTCGGTGTACCAAGTATTCTTGGTTCATGCAGGGTCGGGGGAGAATCACACCCAAGATGTGTGACGTAAGCAATTTACCCTAATGCAGCATCTTCCGTGACTCGAACCCGCTACCTATAGGTCACACAGAGTTAACTACTTATATACTTTGACCGTGTAAAAGAATTTTTATACTATATGTCACATAAAAGATATCTACAGATAATCCAATAACAACAATAATATACTTAGGGTAATTCCACATAGTGAGGTCTAGGCAGAGTTGTGTGTATATAAACCTTACCCCTATTTTCTTGAGGGTAGAGAGACTGTTACAGATAATCGTCCATAAAAAGTATTATTATTAATCTGAAAAATAAGGCTGATCACCTGTTAAAATATAATGATAGGGTAAAATTTTATTACAGTATCATTATAATGGATGGATAATTTGTTGACCCACTCCTCCATATAACAAGATGAAGCTAATATTTTGGTAGTTTGGTGAGATAGCAAAGGAGAGTTGCAACTAAAAGGAACGGTTATTTTGGTACACAACGTGGACATGGCACTATTATTATTATTATTATTATTATTATTAGAGTTTTTGGTATGGGGTTGGTGAGAAAAATATGATATTTTAGCATAAATATTCGGAGGATTCGTTTTAAGTGCTCAACATGATAAATACACTTTGACCTTAAATTTAGGTGCTTATATTTTATGTTGGACACTTGACCTTCAATTTTAGGTGTTTGTATTTTTCAATTTTAGGTTGATGAATACATAATACCAATTGCATCCATTACTTTTTACAGACAATGAATCAATGATGACGAACTTAATAAAAATATTTTTCTGAATTTTTATTACTGTGAATAGTTTGAACTAATTAGTCCATCCATTCTCATCTCTGAACATAGACTTTGCCCCAAAAAAATTCTCTTTTTTTTGTAAACCGAAAAGGATGAAAATAACGAAGATAATGAGATGATTATGATAATGACAATGATAAGGATAATGATAACCATAATGTTAATCATGATAACTATGATAATAATAGTACTGCCATTATAACCCAATGTAACAAAAACATAAAAACAGGTGGCGAATCATGAGTTAAAAATAGGATGAAAATTTTCTTATCCTTTCTTATACTCCACTAACCTCTTGTCAAACTTAATCTTTTTCCATGTGTTATGTTCCTCAAGCTATCATAGTTTGAAATGGAGAAATATTTACACTGACTTGGGATGTGTTTGGTATAAAGGAAAATGATTTACTTAGAAAATACTTTCTTAGAAAATAGGCATTTTTCTTATTTATTTTTCGGTATTTGGTTAGGTAACAGAAAATACTTTTGAAAAATATATAATTTAGGCAAACACTATATAAGATGATATGGGTAAGTGCAGGAGAGCGTGGTAGGTCTGAATCTAAGGGCCGAAGTGACGATGGCAATGTTAGGTGTGGGGTGGCAGGGGAGGTTGGGGTGGGCAGGGGGGGGGGGGTCAGGTCGGTGGGGCAAGGTGGGGTGGGGGTCGAGGGTGGAGTTGGGGAGGGAATGCATGTAGGGTGGAGGTGGGGGATAGGGTGGGAAGGTTGAGAAAGAATCTTGGAAAATATTTTTCGGGAAGTCATTTTCCACCGATTGAAAGAAAAGGAGTTTATAAGAAAATTAATTTTCAAAATATTTAGCCAATTAAATATGAAACAAAATAGAAAATATTTTCCGGACACCCTTGATGCTATAGCTTGACTTGAAAAAAGTATTTCAATTTATATTTTCTATATCCACTGAAATTTGGGCCTTTTTAGTCCAATACAATAGAATATTATCTTGCCCATTCTAAGCAACTGAAACAAGGGACTTCAAGAATAACATGGAAAGAACATAAGCAAACACAAGATAAAAGGGCAGCCCGGTGCACTAAGCTCCCGCTATACGCAAGGACCGCAGAAGGGTCAGACCACAAGGGTCTATTATATGCAGTCTTACCTTGCATTTCTACAAGAGGCTGTATTTCTACAAGAGGCTATTTCCACAGCTTGAACCTGTGACCTCCTGGTCACATGGCAGTAACTTTACCGGCTAGCCCGGCGCACTAAGCTCGATAAGCAAACACAAGATAGATAATGTGAAATGGATTTCTGGAGAACTCAGTTGAATAGAACACACTGCAGCAAGCAGGTTCAAATATTACTACAAGATGGATTATCAACACTACAAAACAAGATGATAGCATAGCTGATACAACACTAAATGTCCCATTGGCGTCGCCTTAGACAGCTCGATATGAGAATGCTTTTTCTACCTTGAGAGTCAAGAAAAGAAAAACAGCCACGGATTATCTCTTTTCTTAAAGCTTAGCGCATGGTTGAGAAGGGGTGTGCCGCGTATTTGGCATATGTGAGAGATGTTAGTGTTGATACCCCTTCTGTTGATTCTGTTCCAGTGGTACGGGATTATCCCGATATATTTCCAGCTGATCTTCCAGGCATGCCGCCTGATAGGGACATTTGATTTTGGGNAAGGGCAGCGAACATAATCACTAGCATCGTCTGCAACGAAATGTAGGGACCGAGGAAAAAGACTATGGCGATTGCAAAGCTCTGCCAAAGCTTAAGTTGGGCAAATGCTCCTTCCTGTTTAACACAAAATGAATAGATATTTGATACCTGAAACAATCATCCATTGAAAAGTAGCCACAATTTTAAGCAACATAAGAGAATAATAAGCGTCTGAATAAAATTCAGAACATGATTAACATGATGTTTATACCGCTTTATTTGGGCAAACCTTAGCCCAGGATCTATTGGGAACAGCCTCTCTACCTTCACAAGGTAGGGGTAAGGTCTGCGTACACATTAACCTCCCAGACCCACTTGTGGGATTACACTGGGTCTTTTGTTTTTGTTGTTGTTGTTGTTGTTGTTGTTGTTGTTGTTATTTGGGCAAACCTTAAATGAAATTAGGTGAACACATTATTGAAGCATGTGTTCGATGTTCACGAATTCATTCCATTAATGAGCACTAGCCGTATGTTTCTCGATATGTAATTTTTAAGGAGATTTCCATGAAACTATATTCAAGCAGATTCATAGATCAGCACAAAGAAGAAACAATCATACAGTGTTGTTATATGAAGGCAAAGGCTTCAATAGAAAACCACCCAATGTATCATACTCGGGGACTCATTTATCAACAAAATAAAAAATAAAAAAAGAAATTATCATACTCAGGCACTATTCCAAGAGATGTCAAAATGATAGAATAAGTTGGCAAATTAGTACCAAATCATCCTTGAAGAGTATCCCGAGCAATGCACTTAGCTGTGTATTCAGGACTCCGTCACCTATGCCCCATAAGGCTGCAACGAGAAGCGGATATAGTATGCCGAGAACTCCACCAGTCACACTACAATGGATAGAAAACAATAAGATATTAAGTACCTATATCAACTTCTTCCAGAATGTAACAAGGGAACGTTACACGAAGCGAACCTGTGAGTCAGTAGAATCCATACCAATACAGCAGCCTGAACTAAAGCTCCACCCGAGACAATTATCGAGATAGACGAGAGACCAAACGTAAAATGCCCAGCCACTAGAGAACACTGAAACAATGTTCATCCAACGATACATAGTAATTATCACAGCATTATATCAGATAAGTGTATAATCTGCCCGGATACTACTATCAAATCTGACATACCCACACTTCTCCAGAGAATGTGGATGCACAGTTACAAATTTAGGAGTAAATTGAAAAGAGCTTACAGTAATGTGGAATGTTTAACATTTGCATAAACCTATTTATAAGTATTACAAAACATAGTTCTGATGGAATATCAAAAAACTGTATAGTTTGTCACAAACTAGAAATAAATAATGAGTCAACCAAAACCAAGGAAGCGAACATTGCAAAATTCAGAGATAAAAAGTAAAATTTATAAACAAGAATAAAATGAAGCAAAAAAGAAAAGAGCCAAAAAGTAAAATTTATAAATAAAAGGCTCACCAACAGACTAAGGACACAACTAAAGAGAATGTGAAACGGACAAATTTACAGCTCTAATTTCCTCGTATAAGATTAAAGAACACACCACAATGGTTGGAACACATGTCAATAAGACCCCATCCAGTACCATTAAGATAAATGCAGTTTGCTCAAAGAACACAGTCAAACAACACACTATTCAAGTCAATCTGTGACAAATTATTGAATTAATTCGTTAGTGCATTTCCATACTTACAACTGCATCAAAAATCCCATAAACAGCCATTGCACCACCAACACCACTCTCACCCATTGTAGGCACAACAATGTACTTTGTGAATTCAGCCCTGAAACACGTTGTCAATTAAAATATGGAACAGCATAAGATGCTGCAAATTCTACTCCAATGATCTATAAGAAGTATTCTTTACCATACGAATGCTTGCTGTAAGCCTGAATACGCAATAAGAGGGATGACCAAGAGCATTCTTATGTCTTGTAAAAGGGTGACGATAGACTTGAACAAAGTTACCACAGAAGAAAAGAAACTAGCAGACGAATCTTGTAGTCCTGTCTCCTCTTTACCAGTTCTCTTACTTAAAAAGCACATAAGAACGGCACCGAGAGTTATGGTACCAATAAAAACTAAGAAAAGTGCCGTTGTGCCACTAGTGCTTCCTCCCTGTAGCAACACAAAACTAACAAATCGTTATGAAAAACAAACAAGGATGAGCAGTTGAGCACTTAATCTGAGGAGATCCTTACTTCTCCATCTCTCATCAAAGCTAGAGTGATAAGATTTCCAACAAACTGCAAATCAAGAGAAAAAGTTGTTGCGTTCATGGAACTATCATGTGAGTAGAAAATACATCAAGAAAACTACTTGCAAAGCTCGTATAAAGTACCTGATGACTTGCAAACATTCCCCAGAATTCACCGTTGAATTTACCAATTATAACTGCTTCATTTAAGGTATGATCATTTGCGTGACTGCGCGCTGTGGAAGTAAGATATGTACCCTAACCACAAAGAACAAGATTAAGGCTATTGCTGAAGCCAAAAACAAAATTCAACTCCTAAAATGAAGTCATACCTGCCCAACCCATATTATAGAAGCAGCAAAACCCAGGTATAAAGATGCTGGGACCATGGTATACCTACAACATAGCTTAATCAACTGCTGACAATTGAAATGCATGAACATCTTAAACAAACTACAGGTCTCAAGAAAAAAATATGCAAAACCTTATAAGTTAGTTAGCATTGAGAAAAGAAAGCGAAATCAACAAAAAATTGGGTAGAGTAAAAAGGAGAGTGAAGAAAATCGTAAAAATGTGTAAATGGACTAAATTTAACATGTAGGATAAACAAGTAGGGGCTCAGTGTTCATCCCTGTTGTAGAACCACTGTTATGGGAAACTCTTTTGTATCTCCTACTACTGTTCTCACGCTAGTGACCGCTCCTTCATACATGTCCTTTATGGCATTTATATATTTAATATGAATTAATTTCTTCTCCATCACCCACTAAAGGACCTTTCGTGGTACTCTATCATATGTTTTCTCTAGGTCAATGAACACCATGTGTAGAATTTCTTCCTTTCGTGATAGCTTTCCATCAATCTTCTCGGCAAGAATATAGCCACTGTTGTAGACCTATAGGGCATAAATCCAAATTGGTTCTCGGTCACTCTTATCGTATTCCTAAGTCTACGCTCAATCACTCTTTTCAAAGTTATATCGTATGACTCATGAGTTCAATGCCAAGATAGTTCGCACAACTTTGAATATCTCCTTTGTCTTATAAATTAGGATATTGGATACTCTTTGTCCACTGTTCGGGCATCCTACAACTTCTTAGTTTAACATTGAATAGCTTGGTGAGGCCTCCTAAAGACATTTCTAAACCTCTATAGGGATATTATCTGAACCACAAACTTTTCTAATCCTCATATTTTTCATGGCATCCTTTACCTCGGTCAGCCTAATTCTATGAGTTTAGCTAAAGTTTCTGTCGTACACAGACGTTTAGAGGTCAAAAATGATACTATGAATAGGCCTCAAAATAGTACAGTGAAGGAGAACATTCAGGTTTTATTACAATATAGTGCATTACTACTAGTTTACTACTATCAAGTAGAGATATTTGTTGTTTATGGCTTGCTTTCAAAACACAAGCATCCACAATAGAAGACAGTTTGGTCATTTCTTCCTTCTTCCAGAGTCTGACTCTATGTTTTCATAGATTGGAGTTTGTCTACTAATGCCTCCTTAACTGTTTAAATCCCATTCTGAAATCTATTGCGTGGGTTGCTCTAATCATTCTAAGCACAACTGTTCAAGCCTAGATCATTCCGACAAGAAATTAGCAAAAAGCCAACTACAACAAACTTCTTCATGGCTAATGGCACAACCACACGACGAGAATTATGAAGCCTAATAGACCTCTATAATTGGTCCAATAGAGTACAAGATTCATGTTTTTACTCACATTAAGGATTCATAAGTGCGCAAAATATTGCAAAAAAAAACACAAAACCAAACTACAATCACAGCTCACTTTATGAAACGAGTTAAATTGGATTTGCACCACACAATCACTGCCAGCGAGTGCAGACCCACATATCCTTCCCCGAAAAAATATACTGTTTAGATAGGTAAAAATTATTTCTTTATGTATATATACTATGTATTGAATCTCCTTGACTTCTTCGGGTATATACTTCTTTAAATTTTGACTCTTTGTAGTGAAAATCCTATCCCACTATGTGGGATTATACCGGGTATGTTGTTGTTAGTGAAAATCCTAGCTCCGCTACTGCTGCCAGCTCAATAGCCTAATCATCCAGTACTGGTTAAACATTTAATTTTGGAAAAGCAAAATGCAATAGACATAAAAAAAAAAAAAAAAAAAAATGTCACGACCCAATTTCCAAACCCGGTCGTGATGGCGCCTCTCGTGAAGACAAGGTCAGCCAACTAACCCAAATCGTCTCTTTAACAATTTTTAAACATAAATGAACAGATAAATACAGCTTAACGACAATAATAACCAGTATTTACAACCCAACACAACCCGACCGGGGTGTCACAAGTCACGAGCATCTAAAGAAACCTGAATACAACTACAGGGCCAATATTATACAAAAAATAAATTCTGGAATGCTAAAGACAACGTCCGGTTGCCGCGAACGCTGGCGGTCACCTTACTCAGCTACAATAGTAATACCTTCAATCAGCTAATAACCCGCTACCGGGTGAACAATACCTGCAACTGCACGCGAGGTGCAGGGAGTAAAGTGAGTACTCCAACTCAGTGAGCAATAAAAGTAAATAATAACTGAGCGGTAAGAAATCACGTAAAAGCACTCCATCATGCTATATAAGACAGTGCAAATCTTTGAGAAAACAGTAAAACCGTAAAAATATCTGGACTCAGTTAAAACTTCTTTTGAAAATATCATTTCCAACAGTTAAGCAAATGAATGCGTAATCAGATAGTGCAAGTCAGCCCCTCGGGCACAGCACTCCACTAACAATTAACACCAGGGCGTCTGGTAAACAGTGCAAGAAGTAGCATGAATGCCAATGAGAGTGCTGAATGTCATGACACGTATTACAAACAGGAACCAATGCATGAATGCAATGCAATACATATGACTGCTGCGGCGTGCAGCCCGATCCATTTGGGTACCCGCGCTCACTGTGGGGGTTCAGACTCCGGAGGGGCTCCTACAGCCCAAGCGCAATATCAATATAACACCGCTGCGGCGTGCAGCCCGAGCCATCCATATATCCAGAAATCACTATAACATTGCTGCGGCGTGCAGCCCGATCCATGCTCAGTCCAGAAATGCACATAAGCCCCTTGGGCAATAATAAAATAGCAGTTCTCAGCTCAAAACGTCAGTAAAATATCATTTAAGTTTTCAAATCATGAAAAATGGCTAAATTTGCAAAACAGTATTAAAACCCTGGACCGAGGTCAAATAACATGCAAAGTAATGCAAAATCAGTGATATCAATCCCTGAAGGATTCAAATAATCGGCACGAAGCCCAAAACATGGCAATCAGCCCAAATCATGATGATAACAAGTAGTTTCAGTCAAATACGTAGTAATTCATCAATCGGGACNAGTCAAATACGTAGTAATTTCATCAATCGGGACGGACCAAGTCACAATCCCCAACGATGCTCTACCCCACGCTCGCTATCCGGCGTGCAAGTCACCTCAATACAGCACTATGATGCGCAAACCCGGGGTTTCAAACCCTCAGGATATCATTTACAAGTATTACTCACCTCGAACCGGCGAAATCCCTAGCTCGCGACGCCTTTGCCCCTCGAACCGGCCTCCACGCGCGTCGAATCTAACCAAAATCAGAGCGAATACATCACAATATGCTAAGGGAACAATACCCAATCGAAAACAATCGAGAAATAGCAGAAATCTCGAAACTAGCAAAACCCGAGCCCCGGGCCCACTTCTCGAAAAATTACAAAATTCACATTACCGGATTCCTCGTCTCGCCACGAGTCCGTACATATCAAATTTACCAAAATCGGAGTCCATTTGACCCTCCAAATTCCATATTTAAATCTCAAAATCCCAAGTCCTAGTTCATCAATTTTAGGCTTAATTCCATGAATTTCTAGGTTAATTTCACATAATAATCATGTATTTAACTTGGAAATAAGTAGAAACAACTCGCCTTTGAGGCTTGATGAAATCCCCCTTGAAATTCTCTCCAAAATCATCCAAGCCAAATGAAATGAAAGAAATGAAAGAAATAAGCCAAATCCGTGTTTAAAGAATCTGCCCGTGCTTCGTCGAGTTGTACCTTGCACTTGTGCTATACAAGTTGTACATCCTATTAAAATTTTCCCTTGTCGGACACCTTCTGTTTAAACACCGATAACGTCTTGTATAAATATCCAAATGACAAACGGTTTGATGATTTAGAAACTAGACTCGAAGATCTTTAATTTGTTAGGTTGTACACCATGTAACTCTTTATATATCCCGAGATATGAGCTTCCAAAGTCGGCTCCATGAAATCAGAAAATTCTGGAGAAACTGCTCCACCAGTCATCATCAATCGATCATAACTTCCTCTATGGATGTCCAAATTACGATTTCTTTAGCTTTCTGGAAACTAGACACGAAGGGCTACAACTTTCGTTTTTGAATCATCTCAAAATTCCTTGTAGATCAAAAGATATAGGCCTCCGAAGTACGCTCCACGACTGCACATTTGCTGTCCAAAGACAGCTTAGCAGCAGAAATTGCAGCAGCTTTTTCTTTTCTTTTGGGTCCGAATTCCATTCCGTTAACCTTCCGAAATCCACCCAAGGCCCTCGGGACCTTAACCAATTATATCAACATGTCCCACAATATCATTCAAACTTGTCCCAACCTTCGGAACACCCAAAATAACACCAAAACATCAAATCATCATCGGATTCAAGCCTATGAATCTCAAGAACTTCCAAATTCCATTTTTGATCAAAAACCCAACCAAACCACGTCCGAATGATCTCAAATTTTGCAGACAAGTCCAAAATGACATAACGAAGCTACAGCAACTCTCGGAATTCCATTCCGACCCTCGGATCAAAATCTCACCTATCAACCGGAATTCGTCAAAATACTAACTTTGCCAATTCAAGCTTAATTCTACACCGGTCATCACAAAAATATTCCGGACACACTCCTAAGTCCCAAATCACCTAACGAAGCTATCCGAACTATAACATTCACATTTCGAGCCCTCTAACACATAAGTCAATATCTGGTTGACTTTTCCAACTTAAGCTTCCTTAAAAGAGACTAAGTGTCTCAAACCTTACCAAAATCATTCCGGAATGACTTCAAATTTTGCACACAAGTCACATTCGACATTACGGACTTGCCCCAACTTTCGGAATCGCATTCCGACCCTGATATCAAAATTTCCACTTCCGGTCGAATTTTCTCAAAAAAACCTTCAAATTTCTATATAAATGACTTCAAAATGACCTCCGGTCATCTGAATTCACTTCCGATCGCGCTCCCAACTCCAGAATCACCATACGGAGTTATACCCAGACTCGGAATCCCAAACGGACATCTATAACACTGAAATGCCTTCCAACCCAAATTTATGAAATTCTTC